TAGATATGTATGTTTATGTGCAGAGAGAGGGATGGAAAGGTGGGGAATAAATACATATAGATAGATAGATGGATAGATAGATAGATAGACAGATGGATAGATATGTATGTTTATGTGAAGAGAGAGGCATGGAAAGGTGGGGAATAAATGTTCATCTCAGTAGTAGTATGCTTGGTGATGTGTATGCATGTATTGACGTGTGCGTCCAAGTGAGGACACGAAACCATCCGCAATAAATGCGAGGGAGTGGCAACGATCAGCGCTTTGGCTTGCAATACACCCTGTCGCCTAGAGACCAAGAGGCACTGGACTGCGGTCTCGAACTCGCATCGTCTTCTCATCAGCAGCTCAGCGGGATTCGAGCTCCGGTCGTGCACATCACGACGACCCGTTGCCATTCTGCCTCACAGCCACGAGCTACGAGCCACGAGTCGGCGTCAAGGCCATTTGTATGTTGGGATTGGTGAAAAGGCAAACAATTGTTTGCCATCATATTCGATGCTACTACTCATAGCCGGTATGAGTAGGTCTCGAGATGATTAGCAATTTCGGTGCACAAGAATATAGTCGACAAAAGTGATCGAGAAAGCCAGTTTCTGTTGCGCCCGGGAGACTGTGTCTGTTGTGCTTTGAGCTGGCGGGTCAGCCAAGAACTGAATGTCAAGTGGGAATTGGCCATCTTTGCTCCGTCGGACTGGCAGTTCGAGTCCAGCAATCGAGGTCCGCGTCTTATCGTAAGTGGGCCGAGATGATGCACAGCAATGTCGTGGCTCGAGTCCCGCTGGGGTTGCTGATGAGACCAGTTCAGACGAGGTGGGAAAGGCAGTTCACACGGGCCGCGATGAGGATAGGTTTTTGGAAGCGGAGCCATGTGAACTCCGATGAAAACGTCATGTCTACCCTAAGCGAAATACGATGGACACACCTCATGTGTATTATTGTAAAGGTACACACACGTTTTTGTACCTGACCACAAGCACACACACACACACACAGCCACACACGGATTCGATCAGCCCCCGAATTCCTGTGGCAGATTCCACAAACAGCAGAAGCCGGACCACTTTGGGTCTGCTGGTCGTTTGCACCTTCACACACTTTGACGAAACCTCGATCAACTTGCGTCTGTCTTGTGCCAGCATGCTGACAACAGGGCGTTTTTGTGTGTGTGTGTGTGTGTGTATTCTCGGGTCGGAAGTGTGGGACAGCAACACCCTTCTTATATGGCAATGGTCATGATCGCCGGCATCAAAACAAGCCCTCACCGGATTCGGAAGGTCCACTTTTCGAACTTGGGACCGTTCCGGATGAGTGGCACAACGATGGTCTCTCGTGATTGGTGCATTCTTGTACGACACGGTGTCCGGCAAATAGACGGACGAAAGTCAAGCCGGCCGGCGTTGGAGCCTCGGGCTCGAGAGCGTCAACGGCAAGACTCTTCTGCTTCGGTTGTCGGTGAGGCCGATTTGCCAAATCATTCAACCGGAACGAGAAATGTATCAACCTTATTCCACAAAGGAATTTCAGCAAACAAGAGTTATGCTTCATTCCAACTGAATTGTCGTGATTAAGTGGAAAAAACTGGCTTTTCAAGAGTCTTTCGGTGAGCTGGAGCGATTCGACTTGCCACTTTGAAGGGATTCTTGAATCCGCCGCTCCGCGAATTGAAGAAGAATCAAGTTGCGTCGAGTTAAAACGCTGACACTGTTCAAAGAAGTCTTCAGCCTACCGTCGTCTGGCTTGGATGAGGCTGTGTTGAGCTTTCGTCTGTCCCGTGTTGACAAACAACCTCACACTCGGAGCCAATTTACGAAAAACTGCCTACAGCTACCTTCAGATACTTTGGAAAAGGGACCAATCAAATCGCGCCACTGCCTCGAATCCACCTTGGGACCCAAAGAACCAATCATAAGCCGACATTCAGGCCAGGCAAATATTTCGGCAGGAATAATGCCATAATCTGTCACTTGTCTCTCTCTCTCTCTCTCTCTTTATCTTTCTCTCCTTCGTCGTCGTAGCATCAACCAAACAGCCTGAACCAACGTCTACTACACTCTGCTACGCCACTGCTGCCCACTTCGGCAGCAACGATGGTACCATTCGGTTGGACCTGCAAATTATGAAAAGAAAGTGAGTTTTAAAGAATTCCTGCATCACATCGCTCTCCTTTTCGACTGGAAAGTTGGTGCGAAGGAATTCGTGATGTCAGCTGGCCACGAACGCATTTCCAGTTCGGCAGGTTAACGTCACTCATCCGCAAACATGTCACGCTTCAGTGAGATTGCGAAATTCTGTCTGTAAAGATGCGATTATGGCTTGGTTCAGTCTATTTTTGCTCTATTAACCCGAAACATGCACACCAGCTTGATGCTGTCCGTCACGGCGGTGGCATCCAAGCGTGACGGGACGGTTGGCAATCGTCCGTCGGTTTCCGGTGAGACCGGATCACCAACTCATTTCGACCCACTTTGCGTCGAAATTGCGGCTCGTGGTACAACAACCTCAACCCCTAACCCTTTCGCCGCGTGCCCGTCAGCCCGACTGGCCTCGTTCCGCTGCTCCTCTTCATCCACTTTTTGCCTCCAGTCCACATGCCACCGTGTGTTGGGATTACTTCCATTTCGAGTAAAAGTGAGGGTGAAGAGATTCGAAGGTCGGTTCCACCAGAAGACGACGGCGAATTCCTCTTGACCAGCTGTCGATTAGGTTGAGGAGATTCGAAGGTCGGTTCCACCAGAAGACGACGGCGGATTCCTCTTGACCAGCTGTCGATTGGTTTTACTGGAAGATTCATGCTGACGCGAGGATTCGAAGGTCGGTTCCACCAGAAGACGACGGCGAATTCCTCTTGACCAGCTGTCGATTGGCTTTACTGGCATTGGAGAGACAAAAGATCAACATTGTTGGGATTACTTCCATTTCGAGTGGAAGTGTTGGGTGAAGAGATTCGGAGGTCGGTTCCACCAGAAGACGACGGCGAATTCCTCTTGACCAGCTGTCGATTGGCTTTACTGGAAGATTTGTCGGTTCCACCAGAAGACGACGGCGAATTCCTCTTGACCAGCTGTCGATTGGCTTTACTGGAACATTCACGGTGACGCTATTTCCGAGAAATCGCTTGTTTCATAATTGTTGAGCTTACTTTCATTTTGAGTGGAAGTGTTGGGTGAAGAGATTCGAAGGGCGGTTCCACCAGAAGACGACGGCGAATTCCTCTTGACCAGCTGTCGATTGGCTTTACTGGAAGATTCATGTTGACGCTGTTTCCGAGGCAATCTCGTTCGATTCCGTATGACGGACATCATCAGAGCGAGGTAACATCATCACAACAAAATTCAGGCTTGCGAGTCAAGAAAACTCGAGACTACCAGTAAATCACTAATATGCGATGAATTCATACGAAGAAAAGTTGGGTTTCGAGGAATATTTTGTTTCATAATTGTTGAGCAACCTGCAAAAAGGCGGCGACGCAACTAGTCTTTTCTTATTTTGGTTCTAATGATAATAAATTCTCTCTACTTTTAACTCACTCTTTCTCTCTCGCATTGAGACCAAAACAGAAAAATAGGCTTTTCAAAAAACCAGACGTGTCCGAC